TGCCATCGATTCTGATACCAGTAAAGAAGGGGAACAGCCAGCAGCCATCGCAAACCAAAAAACGGGCAGCAGCGGGTGAACGTAGCTACTAAAACGAAGAAAAGGAAGATCGTCAAAAGCACGAATTATATGGCCCTTGCAAACGAAATAATAACAAACGGGGTTTCAATCGATCGATCGATAAAAAGGAAAGGAAAATGACGCCGAAAAATTTATAAAAAGCTAGCGAGACTCACCTGTAGCTGTAGCTGTAGCACTGTAGCACAGAACACGACCGTCAACAACCGCTTCGAGTTCGAAAAGGAATGCCAAGCTGCAGTGCACGTAGATTTATCCAATTCCAAATCACCGAAATTATCGGCACACAGTAGCTTCTTTGTGGAAAGCAAAACGAATTTGAAAAGCCTTCGTTCAATTTGAAGGGTTGCTGGAGGAAGAAGTTTTGAAACCTTTTGTAGAGAGCAAGAGAAAAGAGAGAGAAAGAACCTTTAGAAACGCGAACGCGAAAGCCAGTATTTAACCCATCAAAGAGAGGGAGGAAATGTTTTGAAAAATCCTTTGAAAAGGTACTCGATCTCTCTCAGAAAAGTTGGGGATGAAAAGGGATATTCGCTTTAGAATCAAAGGTCAAGGTTTTCAATCAACAACTACTGACTGGATGACAATCGACGTTTTCAAAACATCCAGGAAAGCGCTAGAAAAAGTCTTTGAAAAGACAAACAAAGAGAGCGAAGCGTTAGCAAAGAAAATGGCCTCGTTGAGCAAGGCCCATTGAGAGAAGACACGTCGCAAATTCGGAGCGAGGGAAGCGAGCAAACGAAGATTCGAGACCTTTCCACACAATCGCAACCCCAGAGGAACCGAACTACCGAAGCTCAGTTCAAGGGGTGTAGCAGTTTTTGCGGAGTTCGTGCAAGAACTTTCGATGGGAACGGACCGATATCAGATGTAATCGGACCGATATCAACGGAGCGAGCTCATTTGCATATGAGCACATTAGTATTATTTGTAGAGATAGCTCCCCTACGAAGCCCGCTACGCGGGCTTGCCAGTGACCCTACGGTAGAGTACATAGATTAGCCTCGGAAAAGACAAGAATTTTCTTAAAACCCCCTGTGAATGATAATAAAATTAGCCTCGGTAAAGACAAGAATTCTTTCGAAGCCCCCAATGAGTATGCAGATTAGCCTCGGAAAAGACAAGAGGTGTATCAAACTCGATTTGAAAAAAATTGGCTCCGCACAGGTCACGTGATAAAAAAATTACTCGCACTCCTGTGACTATCGCTAGTCAGGGGGTCGCCTGAAATAGAGAAGGGGTAGAGGCTCCCCCCTTCCTAGCGATAGTCACAGGAGTGCGAGTAATTTTTTTATCACGTGACCTGTGCGGAGCCAATTTTTTTCAAATCGAGTTTGATACACCTCTTGTCTTTTCCGAGGCTAATCTGCATACTCATTGGGGGCTTCGAAAGAATTCTTGTCTTTACCGAGGCTAATTTTATTATCATTCACAGGGGGTTTTAAGAAAATTCTTGTCTTTTCCGAGGCTAATCTATGTACTCTACCGTAGGGTCACTGGCAAGCCCGCGTAGCGGGCTTCGTAGGGGAGCTAGTCTTCCGTTAATTGAAAGTTGCTTCAAAACATTTGCAGCCCAGGTCTATTCGTGTTCCTCGTTTAGATATTTTGATGGGTTACCCCCTAAGTCTCGTGTTTTAATTTTCCATAAAATTTCATGGTAAGACTTCCCAACTTTACTTATCTGTTTACTCCTCTGACAAATAAAATTAAAATTGAATCTATCCTGAAAATGAGAATAAAAAAACAATGCCTCCTACATTCTTCCAATTTAATAAGGAATGCAAGCAAAAAGTGTAATATCATACAGCAAGCAGGCAAGCACATTCTAAACATGACAAAATAAAAACATAATTAATCCAATCCATAGTCACGCCTACTGTGAGTAGCATATACTATTGGCAAGAGCAGGAAAGAATTGCTCGAGGACAAAGTATTATTTACTCACAGCAACAACCCTATTGAGATAAGAGCTTCTTTCGTGTAGGAAGATAATGCTTTATTACCCTGATTGTATTTCAGTAAATCCTTTTAGAAAAGTAAACCCAAACTTAATTACTTGCTGGCTCCAGATACCGATACTTGCGAAATTCCTAATAGAATCAACCCAATGAGTAGTTCCTCGATTATTACGATTACCAATTAGCAATATCATAGCTTTCATCACCATCTGAACCCCTTTGAAATCAAGGTTAGTAGCACTCTTGACTTTCAGAGGCTAATCTTACTATCCCATTTTGGGGCCATAGGGTGCCCGCAGAGCGGGATTTACTGGGAGCTACTCTTCCGTTTATTAAAATGTGCATATCAATTTGATACATAAACGGTTGCAATATCAAGGCAATACAGAAAGTTGCTTCAATACATTTTGTAAGCCACGATCTAATTGGGGTCCTCGTTTAAATACTTTCACGGGTTACCCTCTTTATTTCTACTGCTTATTCTAATTGCAATGTTTTAAAGTTTGCATCTTCTTTTATCTCTCGGTGTATCGTGGTGGTCGTTTAAATATCTTGCAGGCTTATCTAAAAGCTTTGTTAAATATTCTGAATTCTACTTTAAACTTGACAGCTACATACTTCTGCCAGCCCCCATCATTTTCATGAGTTAATCCTATAATTTCTCCTATTTAGTCAGAATCAAATTTTTGAGTTTTCCAATCATACATTCTTAGCCCTCGTCGACTTATAGGGCGCTTGAAAATATTTTCTAAGGCCATTCTTAAAGCTGTAATGTTCATTTTGAATCCAACATGAATATCTTTATCAGACCATTTCGTTCAATTCTTGTTCACTTGTGATGCTGTTTTAAGGTATAATTTGGGGCCACCTTTAAACTTCCTCTGTTTATTTTGAATCAAACATTAAAGTTTTCCAACAATAAATTCCTGTTAGCCGTTATTGGTCCATGGTGCTCGTTTAGATATATATCATCTAAAAATTTCTTAAGAATTAATGACTCCTCTTCTGAACTCCAAAGAGTTATAGAGTTATTACGCAGTTCTGTACATTTGAGGTCCACATGTCACATCTTCGTCACAATTAGCTTTTGAAACACTGCAGGAACAAAGCAGTTAAGAGATAGAAAGATAAAAAACAGCCAAGTTTCGTGCATCAGAAAGGAATCTTACTCTAACAACAAATAAACAAAATACAATTTACGGACAACAGCTAATCTATATTATATAACTTTAGTCCTTTTCTCCACAGTCAAGTTTTTTCTTGTTTCATCGTTTGATTTAACGCCAGCATAAATGCCATAAATTTCGTTTCGAAGGTTCGAGAAACACGTCTGCGTCGTAATTATTGCTTGAAACGCTCTTTGATCTAGATGAAGAACAAAAAGATTAATGAAGATGTTATTCCATGGTTAATGAAAGCACGTTTCAAAGAAATCGATATACAGCCAATCCATATTCTTTTAAGCACAAAACTACGCAAGAGGTAAAAAATTCAGAGAAACACGTTCGTGGCGGGTCTAGCGACTCCTTTCAGCAACCGATTTTTAGTGTAATTTCACCCAAATAAGCGTAAAGTCATTTAAAATGGTTTTTATAATGATTAATTTACAATTCCGAAAATGATGCAGGCACAATCTACCGTAACAATCCAGCTTCCTTTCAGTACAAAACCACGAAAAGAGGTGGAAATTCGCCGTTCGCGGCGGGGGTCTAGCAGTAAGCGACCGGTTTTTAGTGTAATTTCATCAAATTAAGCATAAAATCATTTGAAATTGTTCTTGTTAAGCGAGCAATACAGCAAATCCATTTTCCTTGAAGGACAAAACTGCGAAGAGGTAAAACATTAAGAGAAACACGTTCGTGGCGGGTCTAGCGACCCCTTTTGGCAACCGGTTTTTAGTGTAATTTCACCCAAATAAGCAAAAAGTCATTTGAAATGGTTTCTAGAATGATTTATTGATAATTCCGAAAAAATGCTCTCAAAAAGCTAGAAATAATTTTCACTCGAGGGGCAGGCAAATCCAACCTCAGTCTCAGCGGGAAAATCGCACAAAAAGTGAAATTTTAATCGAAAAATACTCACTTGTTGAACCAAAAAGTCAGCGAATCCGATCGTTTATCTACAAAAAAGGAAGGCGGTTAGGAAAAGTTGCTGCAAAGGATTCTCGATAGGCATAAAAAGTTGGGGGCTGGCGGGATTACATAATTCGCATTACAACGGGTTTTCTATGAAAATCAAATCTTCTTGCATCAAGAATAAACAGCAGGAAAAATCTACCACAATTCTTCATACTTTTAAAGCCGATCCAGTTTCCTTTTAACACAAAACCACGAGAAGAGGTAAACATTTTTCGTTCGCGGCGGGGTTCTAGCAGCCGGTTTTTAGTGCAATTTTATCCAAATGAGCAGAAAATCATGTCAAATATTTTAAATTTCGAAAACACGTAAGAACAACAACGCTTACTTGTATTCGCATGCCATCGATTCTGATGCCAGTGAAGAAGGGGATCAGCCAGCAGTCATCGCAGAACCAAAAAACGGGCAGCAGCGGGTGTACCGTACGTAGCTACTAAAACGAAAAAAAAGGAAGATCGTCAAAACCACGAATTACATGGCTCTTGCAAACGAAATAATAACAAACGGGGTATCGATCGATAAAAAGGAAAGGAAAATAGCTAGCGAGACTCACCTGTAGCTGTAGCACTGTAGCACTGTAGCACTGTAGCGCTGTAGCACCGTAGTACTGTAGCACCGTAGTACTGTAGCACTGTAGCACAGAACACGACCGTCGACAACCGCTTCGAGTTCGAAAAGGAATGCCAAGCAGCAGTGCACGAAGATTTATCCTCCAAATCACCGAAATTATCGGCAAACAGTAGCTTCTTTGTGGAAAGCAAAAACGGATTTGAAAAGCCTCCGTTCAAATTGAAGGGTTGCTGGAGGAAGAAGTTTTGAAATCTTTTGTAGTAGAGAGCAAGAGAAAAGAGAGAAAGGACCTTTAGAAAGGCGGGACAAAGACCTCGGAGAGCACTAATCGAGATCGAGAGGATTTCGAACGAACCCGGGAGAAAACGTACAAATATCTATAAAAAAGGGAGGAAAAACGAAAAAAGAAACCCCACGAGCACAAGTTTGAGGATCAAGGACGACGTGGAAAAAAGAATTAGGAAAATCAGCCGAGCGGTTTTGGCTGGTAATCTTCTCCAAGATCGGGCGGTGTCGTTTGAACCGCTATACGATTTTGACCCAGGGATCTGCTGGAGCATTGTGTTGGGCCTTTGTTGTTGAGGAGAATAGAGTTCATTTGCATATCCGCATATTAGTATTAGTTAGAAGCCTTTTGGTCCAGAGTACATTATATAAAAAACCATGTGATTGAAAGGAATGTATGTCTTTCAATTAATAAGATAAAGAATTTTGGAAAAATTAAACTTTCCTTTTGCACTGGGGGTTGTACCCTGGGTACCAGACTCACTTTATTTTATGGTTGGGGGGTTGGGGGGTTGTAGCTTGATAAAATTTAATAAAATAATATTGAAGCAACTCCAAATGATACAATACCTTCTGAGGCACTGGGCCACTGAAACGGGACTGGTTGGCTGTTGCCCATACTTTCATCTCTCTAGAAAGAAATATTCATTGAAATGCATAACCTCGAGTATTATCACTGTTGAATTCGACTTTCTGTAGGTTTTCCTTTAGAAAGAAGCATCTGGAATGCTGAAAGTTGTCTAAAAGATAAAGCAACTACCAAAGACAAGGAATGCATTCTAGCAACTTTATTGAAAGCTTTGAATTATAAATCTTTAAAATCTGATTTTAAATCTGTTTTAAAGACAAAATGGAGTTGAAGAAGATTTTGAAAGTAACTCAATATTGTTTGAATTTTTGAATTTGACAGTTTGTGGAGACTAGTCTTTACTGCTAGGTATTGTGTACTTACCTTTGAAGCATCGCCTTTTTATTCATTTTTGTTTTTCATAAAAGTTTCTCTAGGTCGACACCGAAAACGATTATTTTTGATGTAAAGAATAAATGAATAGTTTGAACTTTCAGTGTAAAGAATGTGTTTAGTTGCATACCATATCAGGACTCTGTTGCTCATTGCACGAATTTCCAAACGAGAAAATGGAGCCACTGTTGAGAAAGGAATCCGAGGCTAGGAAATTACCAAATTCTGATCTTCTTGGATTTTCTGGCTGGCTCTAAAATAAGCACAAAAGAAAATTACCATCTTTCTTTCAGATCCTTTACACTTGTAGACATAATGGAAACTCAAAGATGAAAACTTCTGTGATGTGCAGAATCAAACTGGAAAATAATCATATTTTGTTTAAACATATCCCAGACTACATTTAAAAATGACAAGTAAGAAGTTATAAACGAACAACAAATCATGGCGGTCTTTGATCATCACAATACAGTCTGTTCTTGCTCTATATGTTTTGACTATCCAAATGACAAGGCCATCAAAACAGCACCGAAAAAACTCTCTATCAAACAGATGCTTAGTCACAATAATACAAATTCATAAGTTTTAAAATTCATTTACCAGTCGCTGTTTACATACTGTCTAACAAGCAGGAAGATATTCCTTCTTAGTATATTTTTTAAGTTTAATTTATTTTGAAAATTTTATCTCGTGACATTGGATTCTCGTCGTCGCATGCTTTGTTCCTGTATATCTTCAGTAACAACACTCATTGCAAGATTCACAGAATCCGGCGGACAGCCTATCCTGCGGTTCTTCCTTCTTACACACAGGAAGGTATTGCTGGACCTTTCAACTAAGTAATCTATTGTCAAAGTACCTTAAAAGCACATCATAAGGATATGTTTATAAAGAGACTAACCATGTTTGCGTCACTTTCTTCAGAAACTGTTTGATAAAACATTGGCCTGCTGTTCATAATAAACCCATCACCAGGTGACTTTGTAAACTTCTTCATGTTTTCTTCGTGAAGATCAATGCTCAGATGAAAGGGAGAGCTGAACTCTTTCTGCATCTCAGAAAAATTCTTTGAAGCAGAGTCCCCAGTTCGCGAGGAAACATCTAAATCACTTTCCTTTGGCTGTTGCTCTGTCTGCCTTGCAGCTGTAAGCAATTACAAAGCCTCATGAAAATGATAAATCAAATTTTCATAAAGATGCATTCTGATCCGTTTAGTAATATTTCAATCTTAGTTTCTCCTTAAAATGCACAGTTTTTTGGTTTATAATTATTATTGACATATTTCGTAATACTTGTTGCTATAGATACAGCAACTTAACAAGTATAGTACAGTTTAACAAATATTCTGGCTTCAGTAGTACATACTGAAATCATCACAATAAAAGACAAAATTTTCCTTCTATTATGACCCTGTTTTCTTTCAACGTTCTACTGTATCCATCCTTAGACAATCTAAAGTACCCTAAAACTGATGTTGTTCTACAGCTGTTGATAATTTGGTTATCTTGCATTTAGACAGGGAAACAACAATCAAAGAGAAACAAGCGAAAAATTACACAGTAGGTTACAAAAACCTACTTGGAATACACTCTGTGTTGGTTATATCGAATGGCTTATTCAAATGGACTTCATCAACTTCTTTGAGACTTTCAAGAGACTTTCTTCCAACACTGGGTCCTGGTGATGTGTTAGCAGCTTGAGGGTCACTTTCCAAATCTAGATGACTTTTGTCTTTTAATGGGGACAGACCAAGACCAGTTGGACTCCTTTGATGTGCCACTGGTTTTCTAGGGTAAGGCAAATTGTTCCTTTTTGAACCAGGAGAACCTTTAGTTGGCGCTTTCCTTTATTAATGTGAGCAGGGAATGCCCTTGACAGAAAGCG